ATGCTACCATAGAAGTTGAAAGAGCCAAAGCTACACAAGCTTCATGCCCGCCCAACAGCCCAAAAGACAGGAAATAGAGAAAAAAAAAAAAAGCAACGCCGGTACTGGCTGTTCGAGGTGCAATTTTGTAGTGCTGGGGAACGAACCAGAAGTTGAAGACCTGCCAGTCAAACACCCAAGCTGAAACTCTACAATGCTGCTGCACGGCTGCAACGAATTTGAGAACCTGCGCGGGCGTCCAAAACACTGAGGACCCCAGAGAGGCTTCCTTCCACTCTCTTTGGAGCTGGCTCCATGTCCTTGGCTCTATCAACCGAATTCAAGATCAACTACCCAATATTCGGTTTAAAAACTCAAGACCTAAAGCTGAAGTGGGGTTTCTTAAGTTTGCTGCTGTCTACTATTTTTTTACAACTTACCACAACTTAACATGCCTCACTACCGCCGTCGGCCAGTTACTATCGAATACTTCATGCAAGCACCGCCCATCGATACCACTTCCTACTATAGTGCGATTGGCTGATATGATGACTACACGACTACAATAGCAACAACGGCTACTGCGTCTTCCTTACAGCATCTTCGGAAAAGACTCGCCAAAACAACAAAGAAAGTGGAGCAAACTGCTTGAATCTCAGAAGCTGCCTCAAGTCCATGCCCTTAAAGCAACTGGTCACGAGGTAGAAGCCTGGGACGACGCCGAAGGGGGTGTGGACGTAGACGTCGAAGAAGGTTTTCGCTGCCACGTTCCGAAACGTCGGCTTCCGGCCCATCCTTGGAGTCGACCCTCAACATGCTTGCACTCCTCTGTGTTTGTGAAATCATTTTTAGTTCGAGGTAGCAAAAGGTGCCAACGACTTGGGCTCCAGTTGGGCTGATGTGGGCTCCAAGCATCCATCGGTCCATGCGAAGATACAGCCACTTGCAGGGCCCTCCATACCAAACTAAGCCGAAGATGGCTAGGCCCGTCGTCCTCCAAGTTTCATGGTTGGCCCTGGAACTCTTATACTTGTTCGACAAATCCTGAAGTGGAGCTAGATCCACAGCCTTTCCGCACGATCTTGTACGGTGCTTATGTTGCAAGTTGCTGCGCCGAACACTTGTCTCAGAAAGTCGCATAAGCGGTTGCTGCCGCTAAGTCTTGCCCTACTTCCGGACTGTGAACATTTAAGGGAACTCAAACTTCCAACACGGCCTGCTCAGCAGCACAAAGCTAACTCAGGGGATTATGCACACAGAGAGGAAACAGTCTGCGGGCCCTCGAAAACCTGACCTGCACATTCCGCAAACTCTAGTGATCCCCAAACCTCTTATATTGTGGAACAAAATCGCTGAAAGAAGGTCCTCCTGTAATCAAGCCCCTCTGGTCCGGGCTTCTGGATCACAGCTTGGCAAAAAACATCCGCTGATGTCATGATTAATGAGCTTGTCATTCCGCTCACTAAATGTGGCCACTGCATCGCCAGCTGCGCATACCGGGAAGTTACCAGCGCCATCAGAGCCAGGCAGGTGCAAACAGCAAATCGAGAAACAGCAGGAACCCAAAAAGCAAATCCGACTCAACTGCCCCTTAAATCTTGAAACTCTGACCACTACAACCTTGACTCATCCAAAGCCAAACCACCCCTTTCACCCCCATCCCCGATGGCTGACGGCCTAAGCCGTGCTTATCCTGAGCTGGATAAGCGGCAGGCAAAGCCTCTGGCTCATAAATTCACATGTCATTTCCTCTTCAAACAACTGTCACGTTTCAAAAAACCATAGAAACAAACTACAACCTGTTCTGGCAAGTGATGCAGCTGTCCCACGAACCAATAGCAATAGCGCCTCGCTGCTCTTCCACTCCTGCGAGCAGGGTTGCCAAGGACTTCCACTGGGTCTTCTGCTGCCCGTTCACAACACACTGGAACGAACGCTGGCCCACAACACCATCAAGGCAAAAACGCAGATTCGGGACCCAAAGGGATGTTCTACGGAGCATGAGCTCGCATTGAAACAGCTGATGCGGCTTTCTAGGGGATGATATGCCACAGCCAGACTCTGGACAATTGCTAGGCTGCAGTGGCACAGCTGCAGGTAAAGGCTGAAACAACATCTTACAGGTAGCATCTTCTGCTCGCAAGGAACCCTTTCACAGACGAGGTTTGCAAGTATCGAGTGGATGTTGCTGGCAAAGCCGGCACTCCGTACTCTAATCATGCATCTTACCTGGTGGACGGCAACCCCTCATTCCAATTCAGGTCCTGGAGCTGTGTCAGTACTCGTTCTCCATGTTCCAGTAGCGACGAAGCGCCCTGCCAGACCGGCGCATGTTCGTGCAGCATACAGGAGCAGATGAGACAATGAGATAGGTCCCGCTGCAATCCGCACCTGAGGAACATGCCAAGTGCATCCACCTACGCCTAATGCGTAGCCGGCAACATCCCAACCCAACCTGCACAACGACATCGTCATCCAGGCCTTGAATTGCATGCGCAGCGGTGTACAGTGGCACTGGGAGCAAGGTTCATGCCAGAGGAAGATGATTCGGCGTTCTAGTAGAGACACCGCATGTGCAATCTGCAAGAGGATGCACTCTTTCTGGCATGTGGAGTACGGAGATCGAATAGATCCCCCAAAACTACGCAGTATCATATCGAAGCCAGGAGGGCTACGTAATTGACTGATCCATCCCTAAGACTCCCCACAACCAAGGCAAGGCCATTTCAGTAGGCCCAGGGCTACTGACCAAAGCAGCTTTCCAGCTGGCCACATCCTAACACGGACAAGAGGGAACTGGAGGCTTGAAGCAGGGACCTTGGATGATTGATATGAGCAGCACGATGGACACGAACTGCAAAGCACCTAGTACCCTAGTATCTTGGGCAGTTTCAGGCACCCAGCATGAACCCCTTTGCACCCTTTCACTACACCAGCACTCACGGAGATCCCGGAGACGGCCTGGGCTCTTCCAGCTGCTTGGGCCTCAGCTCCGCAGGGTCCGCAGCAAGCAGGGCACTTTTGACAGTTAGGAGCTGCCACTCGCACAAGCAGCTTGACATCCAGAACCCCAGGCCTGTATGCAGCTTATGCGGGAACACAACATGCACCCAAACCTGCAACCGCGGCCAAATCTCAAAGACCCAGATATCCCAGACCCCAAACCCGTGGAAGACCTCGAGCAGCGCACGAACTGCCGAGGGTACCTGCACAAATTGGCCCAATGAACTTGAATTGCAATCCACTCTACCCTGTTGGCAAATTTGGCAACCATGCATGCGAAACAGAAGCTTCCCCTGTTGAGCTACTCGCATGTGGGACAATTTCAGAGTAATCAAAAACACGAGAGACATCCCAACGAACCAGCATCCAAGGCTTCAAGCTTTGCAAACCGCACCCGGCGGAACAGGGAAAGCGTCAACGACCGCTGCGTCACAGACTCAAACCAAATGCCTCCAGGCCAAGGTCCTCCAGCAATGAGAGCAAGCCTCCAGAACTCTGCCGGAGAACCTGCAATCTGCAGAACATGGGCTTCAACTCTTGCGCCTTACTTAATTTGGATTGATTCAGAATGGTTGCTTTTCAAATCATGGTCCGGTCTCAGCCGGAAGAAGAGCACATAAACCGCACAATTGCATGCAGCTTGCTCTGGTCTCAACGTGACTCACTCTTAGAAATGCGGAGATATTGGACATGTCTGAAAGTCCACCACACAAACCATACACTGCTAGCCATCTCAGGCTTAGCACAGGCGGGTAGCGTCTTGTAAGCAAATGTCATAGCCACAGCACATCAAGGAGCCAAGTAGCTACTGAGATCTGCAATCCCTCAAACATTCTCAGCAAGAATTACTGTTTGCCAGTCCCTTTCCCAGACCGCGCCGGCAGATCTGCGAAGGAGGAGGAATTCTCGAAGCGGTCCAACAGCCTAATGCCGCACGGCTGAAGCAGGTAAGCGTTTGGAGGGCAGGCTGACGTGAACACGAGCTGCAGATGAGCTTTTCTGCCTACACAAGAATGACATACTGCAGGTTGCATTCATGTTGGTACGTATAGCATGCGCATGCATGCGCATGCTGTGCGCGCCGCAATCTTTCTCACCATGCAGCTTCCCAATTGAGATCAATGGAGCAACATGCGTCATACCTCTTTAGCCAGCTCAGACTGCAAGTTGTTTGAATATGCAAGCAAAATAGGGTCCTTCTTGGAAGCACAAATGGCCAGGATTCATGAGGTTCACATGTGATATCTTCTGATAGAATGTCAAAGGAACCACCTGATGAGCGTGGCTGATTCTAATCTTGATCATGTGCCCTGCCATTTCATCTGAGAGGCTCCGTGCCGGTGCAGTCGACGCCCGACACTGACACTGCCTGCCTTTGGGTCAAAAAATGTTGAACAGCCTGTGTTATGCGCTCTGCAAATCTACTTGTAGCAGCAATCTAGGTCAGTTGGCGGTGACAAACTTGGCCTTGAGAACAGCAGATACGTACGCGGCTGTCAAACGATGCACTGCTACACCTGCAATCTTCCATCATCTTCCCTCCGTCAGTCTTGCAGGAACTTCGTAATGACGCCCCCGCAGTAACTCCGACGTCCTGCCTTCGAGCTTCAAAGCTTCTACACCCAGCAGCGCTTGAAATCCAGCTAGTTTGGGCGCCTCAACCTAAGCCCTCGAGTCCTGACACAACCCACACTTCATCCATCTTCATCCCGAAGCCGGGCTGCAGCAGCGTGCGCTCCAAGATCTGCAGTCCTGCAGCGCTCTCCTGAGTCTGGCACAACCGTTTTTGGAGACATGGCCATGCCTCCTGGCGAGAAGATAGCCAGAAAGCTCTTCAACAAATCACAGGTCTCACTGCTCTAGGCTCATTAGGCTCATGAAGTCAAAACCTTACAAGCCCTGCTGGCTGTCTCCAGAAATGGCACATGCACCTGAATTTCTCTTTTGAAGAGCTGGCCCGGCCAATGCTACAGCTCGTTACAGCACACTTTTGCGTAGGGCAAGTAAGCTTTGTCATGCAAAACTTTTGGTGTCACGACTTTGAAAAGATTGAGCGGCCCAGGCAGCTCCGGACACGAGCTCACGCAGATCTGCCTGTGAAACTCACAGGTGTTTTGTTTACCGACTGCAACTGCAGAAAGAGCGTAAGGAATGGTTTTCAAACGAGTGTGGCAACAAGAGTGTTTGGCATCCTCAGACAGCACGCATGTCAATGTGGACAAGCCAAGGAGAAATGGGTTGCAGGCTTTTGCAGTTCATCCCGTTTTGGCTGAAACGATAGAGGTGCCATTTCCTCTTCCCCAATCCTATCCGTTGTGTGTTGTCAGGGGATTGCTTTGCTTCCAATGACGGCTGAGGTCGCAAGCCAACAATCCTGAGCACAGCATCCACAGACTTCACGTCCAAGTTCCTAAAGGCATCCCCTGATGCAGAAGAATCCATTCTGGGCAAAAATCGCAACAGCTACTTCTTGACAAGCAGTAAACGCACAGAATTCGCGAAAATGCAATATTGGAACCAGCACAGCTTACACTTCCGAGCCCGCAGGCTACACCCAGAACGGTAGCCATGGCCTGCTGAAGCTGAAGCGATAGCCCTGAAAGGCTTTCCACCAGCAGCGCACGATTGGCGCCTAGCTGCGCAAGCACCTGCTTGGGAACTCGGGATAGAGCTATACGGCTTACAAAAACATAGGATGGCAGTTGGTGAGATAGTCTTTCATTCATCTCATGAGGGCTGGGACGCCTGGAACGTTCCTTCTGACAGCCACTGCTCATTCTGCAAAGTTTCTGCTCTGCTCCATCCAGCAGGTGCTTTGCTTGCCCCTCGTTCTCATCGACCCCGAAAGTGATGAACCATGATGAACCTTGATGCACACCGTCTTGTGGGAAGCCCCGACATATACAACGCCAACCTCATCAAAGCATCAGTCTCCCAGAGCCCAAACAGCATGCTACAAACTCACATGAGACGCTGGAGCTAGATCAAGAACCAATGGACCTGCTCCTTGACAGCCGCAACCCAGTCCTGCCACGCATTTACGAGATTCCATGATACGGCCATGAAGAGCAGGATTCCACATGAAGGGTGCCGATAGTAATTACAAACAATCAAATGCGCAACAAAGGCCTCAAGATCTACAATCTACAACGTTGGGGAGTGCAGGACCTACACACCTCCATAGCTGCGCGGAGCAAGCACTTCCCACTCATACCCTCTCCGCACCCCTCCATCCCTGGTGCAGCTCAAGCTCCTCAAGTCGGTCTGATGCACCAGCAATCTTCCTTGCCAGGTAGTGTTATCATGGTGCGCAAGATTTGCATCCATGTACCAAAACCTGATCTTGGGCTGCATCCCAGGCTGTAGGTCCCATTGACAGAGGGGAAAACTGGGAGCTGAAAGAGGGAAAAGCTCGGGAGGAAAATATACGCTCATCAGGATCCGTACCAAAGCCGCCAGCCCGTGTATATTATGGCCTTGTCGGAGTTATTCAAGTTAAGCGCTCAACAGCATG